AAAAAAAAAATGCTTCCGATTTTACATCGTTTTTAAAACTAAACGAATAACCGGTTTTTTAGTTGCCACAATACAGATTGGCAGATTTCTATTAGAGTACAGTGATAAACGCTTCAAAATACAAATAACAAAAGTAATAGACTTAGGATATTATGCAATAAAAAGTTTTCCGCTTGTTGACGATACCAATTTATTGTTGTTTGTTGCCGTGCCACATACGTACCCGTTCATTACCGTCGGTCTGTTGGTAGCGGTGTTGGTGTTGTTGTTGCTGTTGCTGTTGCCGCTATTTTTTGCTATTGCTGTGGCCGTTGCTGCTACTGCTGCTACTGTTGCCGTTATAGCTGTTGTTGCCATTGTTGCTACTACTCCTAACACTACTCCTAACAGTAATAATATTACTACCGGTGTCGACGTTGGTGTTGTCGTCTCGCTGATGTCAGTATTGCCGTCGTTTTCGCCGTAATCATCATTATCAGCGTCATCGTCGTCGTCGTTGTCGCCGTCGTCATCCACATCGTCATCGTTGTCGCTGTTGTTTTTACCGCTGTTGTCATCGTCCAAGTCAACTGTGATCGCTGCTGCATGACGGTCAATAACGATCGGTCGGCCGGCACAAATATGTACACCTTTCTACTTCCATTAGTTTTCTTCGTACTTCCATCTGTTTACTGTAAGCTTTTTATATTTAGTTTAACAAATATGTCGATCATCTTTTTGATCTGTTAATAAATTTAATAAACTTTTCAAAATTTCTTTTTTTTTTCTTTCAAATTTGAAACTGTATTCTAGAATTCTGTATTGCTACTGTATCAGACTGTGAATTACCAATATCAACAGTTATTAATTAAACTAACCGTTTGTAGCACTTACAATTTTTATTCTCTTAAAATTTACAATTGTTTTGTTGGCTTAAGCAGCAAATTTTTTTTTTTTTTTCTCATAACTATGCAAAAATACTATAGTGGAGGAGATTTGAAATGTGATAATCAGATACTTTTTTACTTGGTTAGAAAACAGTAATGATTGTTTAAAAATTTTTTTAAATATATTATACAGGTTACTGGCAAGCAGTTGAATGATATAACCTTTGTAGTAAAGTATCGGTTGGTCATTGAATGTAGTTTGCTTTTTTCTTTTTTTTTGATTTTATCGACTAAT